ACACACACACACACACACACACACACACAAACAAACAAACATGCACACAAAGAAATGAGTGGTTGACCGATATTGGTTTTCTGACAGCCGATGCAGATATCTTAGAGAGCAGGGTGGCCGATATAAAGCAGAGATAGATATATACTGAATATATATATATACACACGGGGCTTGAGATTAACTTTTTTGCTCACCAGCCACTGTGGCTAGTGGTTTTCCAAAATTACTAGCTACTCAGCATTTTCACCGGCTGTAATTTTGTTGTTGGGAAATTACGTTTTATATGACTAAAGTTACTGCATACTAAAATTTATTTACATTGATTTCCAGGTCTTTTTTTTTTTGTCCATTTACAGGGCATTTTTCCCTAACCGTATTAAATGCATGCATCATCTTTCATATCAAATTCTTACATTTTATTAATAATTTCACTTAATGTAATAAGACACTATAGGGCTGTTACCAATCCAATGAAATCAGTATTAACAAAAACGATCTTTCCACTGCAGAAGAAACAGAAGTGGCTTTAGATGCATTTACAGTTTTATGAAGCTGAAATGTAGCATGAATGTATTTACACTGCAACATTATAACAGCATAACTAAGGTTATGAGCTTGGTGTTTTAAATCAGTTTTTTTAATATCCAATGCAAAGTAAAGGTACTTTTAAATATAAAAGTAAACCACCAGTAGGTGGCAGCAAGTGACTGTCTTGAACAGTGAGTCATTGAAGCAAACAATTCATTCAGACGGCAGATTAATTCAAGAATAAAGCAAGTGCCTGTCTTTGTGAATGGACCACTGAATCATTGAATCAAATGAGTAGTTCAAAAACACTGAATCATTCAGTAACGAAACACTGCTGTGTGTTGCTCAGGTAAGTGCGACTGTTCTAGTGTGATCTTTGGAACGATTTTCGTTAACCAAATCGAGCAAAAACAGTCAACACTGACAATATTGTACTGTATATTAACTACTTGTTTGAACTCTTGTATAAAATCAATGTCAAATTTGCACTCTCTTGGTCGTGACTTGTTATAAATAAACTACCTTTTCACCGCAGTATGTTTCTTGTGTGTGCAGTTGCGTTCATGTTTTGATTTCTCCACGAGATTGTTTCACATACAGACAAGCTTTGAGAGCCTCAGCCTCAAATCAGAATCATTCTAGCTGAAATTTCCGTGCTTCCCTAATTATGTTTTAATCTGATTAGTTGTCTGGTAAGGCAAGAAAAGTTTTCACTTGCCCCTTCAAAAAATCCACTTGTCCCAGACAAGCATTAATGTCGAGCTCTGTTACTTTATGTAAAGTGACCTTGTTACCCGCCGCAGATGAAATCCACCCACATTTGGCATGTGTTAATGTCAAGCCCTGTATGTATATATACACACACACACACACACACACACACACACACACACACACACACAGGGGATGTATATATACACACACACACACACACACACACACACACACACACACACACACACGGGTGACATTGGGGGGAGGGGGCAGTTATCATATGGTTAGTCATGGAACCCCTGATGTCAGCCCAGGCCCGGTTATACAGGGGTACTAGACCCTCAAACGAAAGCACAAGCAATTAAAGATCTGGCAAACTATCCAATGTGCTAATGTAGCCAATCACAGACATATCTGTTGATTTCTTCAACGCAATGGCCAATCAGAAACGCTGTAGTTTTTTCTGAATTCACTCACCGCTGAAAGTGCCAGAGTTTTGCACACTCGTGAATCATCTCATGACTAAGTGCAGACGCGATGTAAATAAGAGATTCATTGTGTAGTTTAGAGAGCTTGATTATAACGGAACTTAATGAGATCGCGATGAACTTTGATGAGTGATGCTTTTAGTGATAATAAAGGGAGTGCGCTTTGTGCGTTTTCTAGGCTATAATCCATTCAGAATTTGAATGAAACTTTAGTTTTACGGACACATACATGCTGCAAAGTTTCGTGAATGATGCTGGATTCTTTCTCTAATATCAGTGATAAGCAATGGACAGGACAAAAAAGCCTTAGCTATTGTGACGAGTGGGGTGGGGCCCGAGAGCAGTGGGAGCGGAGCGAGGCCGCTACTCATTTGAGCTGCGCAGCGCGGACCGTGACGCAAACAAACTTGTCTGAGCTCAGAACAGCTTTACTCGGGAACCAAAGTTGATTTCGCGACACGGTTACTTTGTAGTTTGAATTCACCGCAGAATGAATAAAGATAGCTGCGAGATTTACTGAGAAGCATTCAAATTCTGCACAGAAATCTCTGTTATAACCAGATCAGACATCGCTGACGTAGAAAACCAGAAGCAGTAGCGCTAACTATAACCATGGTGTTGTAGCAGAAATAGTCGAATGTTATTACTTTATTCATTACAGGGTTTGTACAGCCTTTTGAGAGAGAAATTCAAGCAGTTTCAATGACTTACAAGCATTTCACACAACAGTTTCCAGCGCGCATCCGGAGCGAGATCCAGTTCAGACTAAAAGCGTAAACTTTGAGATCGGGACATATCAACCAATAATTTCATTTCCAGTAACGGGACGGAAATGTCCCACAATTGATTGTTTATTTTTTTCCTCACGTGTCTCACTACAATGATTCAAAGCGGACACATTTCAAGTGACACGGGAAAAAGACACGGAAAACTTAAATGAACATTAGAAAAGCAGCGCGCACATTTCTAGTTAAAAATGAAAGGCCATCAACTGACACTTAAAACGGGAAGCATCGCCACTGAAATCACAGCAAGAAAAGCTCCACAGTTCAGTAATAATTTTAATAATAATAATTTATGCATTTAGCAGACGCTTTTATCCAAAGCGACTTACAGTGCATACAGGCTATACATTTTTGACCAGTATGTGTGCTCCCTGTTTAATAGTAAACGCAGGCAACCTCTTTAAGTTATTCTTCACTGCGCTGTATTAACACAATGCATTGCAATATGGTAGTGCATTGTTTTGATGCATACATCCAAAGTGTTTTTTTTGTGCTTTTTTTTCCTTGTCCCTCTGACTCGAAAGTCAAATGTCGCCCATGCACACACACACACACACACACACACACACACACACACACAGACACACTCATGCACACACACACACACGCACACACTCATGCACATGCACACACACACACACACAAACACACACACACTCATGTACACACACACGCAGGGCTTAAAAACAAGATGCAAACAATCAGAATATTTTACCTGGTTGGGAGTGCACAATGTAAACCTGAAACGTATGCAATTACCTATATTGTACTGTGGTACATTTATGAGGCCCTTCATAATGCAGAGGTCAACTGCCTGCTCTGCCAATAGTTAGAAATGGCACTATAGCAAGCAGTGTTTAATAAACAGATGTTTTACTAAATTCTGCTGAGGTGAAATTCAGTGCAGTCATGTATCGTGATACGTATCGTATCGTGGCC